GTCAGTCGCAACCTGTTGAGGGCAGATACCACGCCTTGTAGAAGGCCTGCCACTTATAACCACCCCAAACTTGTTTTTGAGATGAACAGGCAGAATTCAAACAAAGAAAGGGGATCACACTAAAAACAGATGTTTCATCTCAGTGGTCTCATCGTGGCTGACTCTACCCACACAGGACCAAGAATTACACACAGAGCCCCATGAGAACACAGTTGATGTGGGTTTTCTTTTTAGTCTCTTACAAGAAGAGGTCAGGTCACCTGAAAGGCTTTTTTCAGGCCTCATCTGTAGGTGTGAATGCCAAGATGAATAATGGAGAGAATTGTATTTGGGAAATTGCCATTTTAATAATTTATAAGAAATCTAGCGATTTAATATCCAGGTTAATCACGGAGATAGCAGAGGTACAGAGAAACTATAGCCCGTAAGAGTTCCCAACTAGATTGGTAAGTATCAAGCTTACGAGCTGCTTATTCCCTCATGCAGCGATCCTATTAGGAAGTTGGTGGTTATGGTAAGAAAACAACTTCATAACTTAAAATTTACAACTTCAAAGATCCTAGTAGGACGAGCTCTGGCCATCCAGAAGGAAAATACTGATTTAACAGAGACTAGACATGGCCATGAAACGCCCAGAACTTTCTTCTGCAACCAATATCCATTAAGATCTGTAAAAATCACAAGTTCTGAAAAGCATGAAACTAGTTCTGAAAAAGGTAGGGGCTGGGAAGGTGGCTCAGAGGTAGAGTGCTTGCCTTGTATGCATAAGACCCTGGGTTCGATTCCTCAGCACCACATAAGCAGAAAAAAGCTAGAAGGGCGCTGTAGCTCAAGTGGTAGAGCCCTAGCCTTGAGCTGGAATGCTGAGGAACAGCACCCAGGCCCAGGGTTCAGGCCCCATGACTGACAAAGAAAAAAATAAAAGAAGAAGAAGAAAAAGGTACTATAGTGTCTGGGTCTCCCCAGGAACAAAGAACGGGGATTTCTGGAGTCATTGCCTCTGAGCTTAAACCTATCACCTCCCACCTTCTGAGGCTCAGTCCACCAAGGTCTCCTGGCTATCAGGAGCACCCTGGCTGCGGTGTCTACACGAAGGTACAGAACAGAAGGGCTGGTAACGCCTCAGGCACTCAGCACGTTCGTTTCTCTTCTGCCCTTTTGAGTGCTGATTCCACTGGAAGGGGGACAACATGTAAAAAGTGGTACTTAAGTAATTTACAAGTCAGTAAGGCAAAAGACGTATTTATAAAAAGCCATAACTACAAAAGATGCCTCGTTGTGTATAGTTGGGTAAGATAAGTATATAGAAATGGTATGACTCATAACACTATGAGACTGGAGCAGAAAATAACTATCATGGCAGGGGTAAGCAAGGGAAAACCCTTGTGGAAGAGGAATTGGAGTCAAACTATTGAGAATGGGTGGGAATTAGAGGGAGAGGGGAGAAACACAGAGTGGAGCCATGTTAGACAGGTCGAAAAGAAACACTTGCCAAAAAGTACTATGGACACAGACTTGCCTTCCTGAGAAGCATTTTGCATATTGCAATAGCTAATGGCTTTGGGTAAAATGGTCATGGGTCCTGCGTATTGGCCCACAGAAGTGGTTCTTATGTTGCAGACAATGAAAAGCCAGTAAGGAGGAAGAGAGCATGGCCAAATAATACCATCCAGAGAGCGTCCTACACCCCGCTCACTCCACCAAGTTATGAGCCACTGTGGAAAGAAAAATCCTTTTCATTATACTAATACTTAGTAAATCACTGAGGACCTACTTCAGAACTCCAAGGAAAACATTTTGTGAATCAAAAGCGAAGGACAATATGTTAGCAATTAAATGAGATAACAGAAGAGCCGAGGCAGAACCACAGTTTTCCCCCCACCATGAGAATTCAAGCTGCACACAGAAAGAACTGCTTACATCATCTTCCAAGTTATCAAGCCATTCTGTTTTGATTTTCAGGAGGCGAGGAGGGAGGAAACTAGAAGAGCTCAGGAGGTCAAGAGGATTCAAAGCTGTCCATTCTTTAATCAGGAGGCATTATTAAGGAGAGTTAGGAAGGAGATTTGCTCCAAACAAAACCAGCCCTGGGATGAGTCTCAAGTTTCTGCACCTTGCTCCCAGTGCAGAACAACAAAAGAAGGTGTGTGTGTAGCTGGGGGCTAGCCTCTCACCAGCCCTCTCTGCCCCATTTCCGGTGCATACCTCCCACGGCTACTTTATTTACTGCAGCTGGCCAACGTTTTATAGCCTGTTTCATGTATTAAAATTCGAATGTGGAAAACATTACCGGTATCCTCCTTGAGGTTTTTTTTTGGGGGGGGGAAGGGGGGAGGAGGGCATTTTTTTTTTTTTGCATCCTCTTCAACTTCCTTTTCATTGTGGAATGTATCCAATGGTCAGAGGCTAACTTCAGGCTGACTAAATTCAAAAGCTATTTCCTTTGTTCTTATGTTTTTGGTTTAAAATTCATACTAGTTTGCGCAAGGAAAGATATGCCCCCCCGCTTTCGTGCACCCTTCAGATGGAAGAGCTCAGCTTTTGCAGACACGCTGGTATTCAAAGAAGGAGAAGGCAACAAGGCCCTCATTCAGTTCAAAGGGCAGCAGGTGAACAGGCTAATTTTGGAATTCTGCCATCATGTGGCTGGCTCCATGGTTGTCTGTGATTATTAAATATCTTCACAAGAGTGAAAAGAGGCTTCTCCTGAGCAAAACTGGCAACTTCACTGCTTCTCTCTCTCTTTCTCTTTTTTTTTTTCCCTGCCAAAATCAAATCAAAGGAGGTGTCTAAACAATTTTAGAGAATTGTTTAATTATTTCCTTTTCTTTCATTACTCTGTTTTATCTCCTCGGTTCTCCTTCACTGGTGATAGTACAGTTTTCCATCTCCAAAAATAATTCTAGGCTTTTCCTCCTAAACCATCTCTGAATCAGAGTCAAAAAGGAGGCAATTCAAAGGTCAAACTGTTTCAAAGAGCATCTATGTATAGCTTAATATGTTAAAGAACCACTTAACCTACATCTGGTATTTAAGAACAAACTACATATTTATGGAAAAGACATTCTCTGAAGCCATGCCCTGAGTACATGTAGCATCCGGTTAACATATGCAAAACGAACACAGCTACAGAAATTAAACTATTTTTCTCTTGATTGAGAGCAGATATACAGAAATGGTTATAAGTCACAGATCTGGCTTTTAATAAAGCCAGATTTCTTAATTAAAAGCAGTATTGTTTAAATACTGTCATTGGAAAAAAAAAGCTGTACAAATGAAAATCTCGTATTATATGAATCCCAAGTGTATTTAATACGTTACCTGAGGCCAAGCTAAATTAAAATCCAGACTTTCCTTTTGTGAACTCTCAGCAATTGTCATGAACAGACAAGCACGTTTTATTCAATGATAAATTTTAGGGCAGAGGTCAAGGAAAAGAGAAGAGAAAAAGAAAAGAGGAAAAAAAAAGATTTAGCTTTGGCATTCAAAAGTATCTTTCCACGTTTTAGAAGTGAGTTCATTGCTGCTATTTATAAAACAGTATTTTGGGTTACAAATTGGTTGCAGGTTTCAAAATTACGCTGCTCAGGATGGTATTCTTAATTTTAGTTTTTATTAAGAGAAATTGAAAGAGACAGAATATCAGTAAGAACTTGAAGAACCTGTACACAAGAATTTGTACTTAAATATTATAGCACAAACGGAAAACAGACTTTCATCCAAGCAATTTTTCAAAACCTACAAGGGACAAAATAGGATACAATAAACCTTACTGACCAGGCAGGAGTCTATAAGAACTAGAATTGTACAGAATCACTACTAATCTCCACTCATTAACTCTTACCACTTCATAGTGTGTTTAAAAGATTCTTTAAGAAAGTTGCTTTTCAAGTCATTTCAAAAGCAATGACTCCCTATCTAAGAAAGTCTAACAAATTTGCTTGAAGAATATTAAAAGAAAAACATATTCACAAATTAGTGGCAAAACTATTCTATACATTACACAGGCCCACACAATGTATTCACAGAAACAAATATTCATCTATTTCTAATTCCCTTACTGGACACCATTTTGGCTTCTTAATTCTTTTGAAGTTATTTTTTGAAATATAAGCAATGTAACAAAAATTTAAGTTGCTCCCTTTGATTAAAGTCACCAAGAAGGTATTTTAAAATACCAGCAATGCCCTAGCAATTCACTGGTAAATACTTACGTGAAATGGAAGTGTGACACAAGCTTATAAGAGCATTTGACGCAAACCAACTATATCCCTCGCTTGGTAAGCAGACAAATACAATGCGGTCTACCCTCACGATGGATTATTTGATAATTAAAAAAGAAAACAAATGAAGCTCTCATGTATGGTTAACATAGAGATAAACCTTGAAAAAAATCTATTTTTAAAATGCTAGTCAGAAAAGACCAATAAATATCTTGTATCATTTCATTTATGTGCCACATTTAGAATAGGTAAATGGTAGAAAGAGAAAGCAGACAGATGAGGATGGAGTGAGAGAGGATGGCAGTGGGTTGGGGGGAGGGAAGGGTTGGAGTATGACTGTGTGATGGATATGTGCTTTTCTATTTCTTTTTACAAGGGGCAAATATGTTCTAAAACTGAGATGCTATGGCTGTGCAGTATTGTGAATATTCTAAGGCACCCTGAAGTGCATACCACTGTTAGGGAAACTGTTAAGTGAACAATTATTTCAATAAAGCTGTTTAAAAGAGATAGCTGGTAGCTGGTGGCTCATGACTGTAATACTAACTGCTCAGGATGCTGAGATCTGAGCATCACAGTTCAAGCCAGCTCAGGCAGGAAACTCTGTGAGACTCTTATATCCAATTAACCAACAGAAAACCAGACGTGGAGCTGAACCTTAAGCAAAAGAGCTCAGGAAAGGCCAGAGTTCAAGCTCCATGACATATAAAAAAAAAGTAGTAGTATTTACACCTGAAATAGGTAGCAACTACAGAGCCTACAAATTATATCACTTACCATGAGTGAATGTCTGTTGGCTGAAAGCAGGCCAGTTCCATACCCTGAGCCCAGACCACCCATTGCTCCGTTATGAGAAGGTCCGATGATTCCATGCATGTCTCCGTGACCTCCAGGCACTGCCGTGGACGGGCCCACTGCGTGATTCCGGAGAACATGAATTGCATCATCCAGTCTTTCTAAACGATCTTCAATTCGGCTTTGCTGTTGGGGAATAAATGATGTGAAATTTAATTTGGTTTGAAATGCATGCATAGGTTATATAAGTAAAGGAGTTGACAGAGGGCACACTTTGGGTTTCTGAATATGTTTCCAATAAAGTTTATTTCCGTAGAACAATAATAAAAATAAATAATGTCCTTCCTAGAAAACTGATGGAAAATGTTAATGTTAAAATTATAGTGTTTTTTTATGAACAAAATAAATTCAGTAAGACTTCGAGGACATTATTATGTACATATGCTGTACTCAACTGCATTAGCTTGAAAGAGAATTCAGATTTACTTTAGAAAAACATCCAGCGAATTAAGGAACACTCTGGCAGGAATTAGTTACAAGAGTTCAAAATATTACCAGTGGATTGATGACCTATTTATGGTTTTCCAATTAATTTCTTCAAGTCAAGCACAGGAAGAAACACACATATTTTGATTTTTTCTTCAGTTTTTATGATTTATAACCAGTTTGTATGTGTATATATGTAAGAACATCAAAAATGTTACAAAAATATTCCATCACCTAACATGATACAAATCTTTAAGACAGAAGAATCATGTGAAATTCATTTCAAAATCTCTTAATTTCCTACTTCATGCAATTAAAAGCCAACCATTTTTCATCCTGGCCATTAGGATCCTCAACAAGTTATTCACAGTGCTAGCTACAGTTTTCCATGAAAAGAAGAACATGTAGCTGTACTTTTTTTTTTTTCTGTGATAATAGTATCAAGCTTACTCTCCTGCTACACTTTAGGGCATACCATCTCACCCACCCTCAACCCACCCAAGTTCTTCAGTCAAGGAAGATATTAATATCCCTTCCATATAGACATGAAAATGAGGCAAAAGAGAAGTTGAGTGTGTCACTATGCTAGGAAATGGTAGTTAGGGTTGGAATCTAGATTTTTTTTAAACTTAAAACTAGTGCTGCTTTGTAGAGGATCATGCACTGGTGGACTTTGATTTTTAATGTGCTGTGCAAACAGATGTACCAGCTGTACGGAGGAGAAAAACGATTTCTAATTATTCTATACCAACAGGAAGAATGTGTGTCTAATTGAGTTAGTCTATGGTACAGAGCATTTTGATTTGGTGGCTTTAGGAGTTATATGACCTCCCCTAGACTGCCAGCTCTGCTACTTATGTGACCTAGGAAAAGCTACTAAACTTCTCTGAGTCTATGAGTTTTAACTCACAAAGAATGATACTATTTACTTCTAACTGTCCATGTGTAAAAAATAAATCGTACATGTATCTATCTTCCTTCCTTTGCTCACAGTGTACTGGTAAACAGGAGTTTCTTTTTATGAGTCTTCTTTACAAATGCTCAGAATCCATTAAAAAAAAAAAAAAAGCAGAACTGTGGACCACAGCAATCAACCGCCCTCTACAGTTCTGTAAGACAAAGTCTGGTTTTGATGGATAGGCACTGGAGAACAGCTCATGGGGATAAACACTTAAAACAACTGCATCGTTTAGATGCAGTCCACAGGTTGGAGGCTGGCTGGGTAGTGCATGTTTTCTCTCTGTGTAGTTGACTTTATTGGCTACAATGTACAGCTGAGTGATTCACTAACTACAGTGCAAGAAAGCACGAGGAGGAAGAGAAATCATTCTGTATTTTCATTAAGATTTTCCTGAAAAAGGAATGCTACAGAAATCAAAGGCTCCTTCCAGATTTCTTCTTCAAAATACATAGGAAGAAAGAAGAACTCAAGCTTCTGCCCACCCTTTCCCCCTTGCTACCAATCCTTACACTGTCACTCAGGTGCAGATTTAAGTACTGCATGGTCCCTGGTTGCTTCCCAGATGTTTTATCAGGCCTAACCATCAGGAGTGGAGGCAGAGAAAAGTGTCAGACACTGAATTATCATGTGAATATTTAAAATATGAATTAGGCTCATGTAAATATTCTGCCATTCCTTGTTGAAAGAGGAGGCATTCCTTTACTAGCAGAGGTATTCCTCAATTCCTTGATAACTGCAGTGAGTGAGGACACAAAAAAATAGGCCTCCTGTAGCAAAGTGAAGAGGAAAGTACCCATAAACCCATTAATCTGGGAGTGAAACAGAGCCAGACTGCATAGTTGTAGCTATGTAGCTGGGCAGGAGTTCCTGTGGTGTCAGGGAAGTTATTTAATCACTGGCAGAGATTTTTTTTTTCTCAAAGAGGGGTGAATTTTTCCTTCTGGGATTTCCAATCTTGTATCTGGTCCTAGATATTTAGAAGCCTGGGCCTTCCATTCCAGTAGCATCCCAGTCACTATCTACAAATACAAATGGACACAGTCCAATTAACTCTCGTTCCAACAAGCTGCTTCATGTTGATTTTAAGTTATGATTAGCAAAAATACGGGTTTGGAGAGTGACTGTTGGACGAACAAGGAAAAAACGAGATCTGAAAATAGCCACAGATGAGCAGATGAGACATACCAAAGAATGTAAGGGTCCTTCATAACTGGGAGATGATGAAGCCTGTCCTCCATTTCTAGACCAAACAGCTGTGCCTGCTGATATTAAAATGAGAATTACAGTTAGATCTACATAAAGTTAAACTCACCAATACTTAACAGCAACTACAACAACAAAACATTCTTTAAGAAACAGTAGTGATGGTTTTCATTTAAACAATAAGGCAACTAACATGTTAACTTCCTAGACCAGGATTTTGAGGCAAGGAAAGCACTTGAAATATCAAATCTGTAGAATTTTCATGGCCTTGTGTTTATTCAGATTTCTTCCTAAAAGGAAAGCATTTAGCTGAGTCTGGATTTCCACTTGTAGAACTCTTGGTGGAAGAAATCTGAAGTCAAGGTATTTATAAGGGACAGAAAAAGAGGGATGGTTATCTAGTTCATGTTCAACCCAAATTCCCTCAACAATGGACAACAGATTTGCTACTTTTGTTTTAAAAATAATCTACAGAACGAGATAAATCTTTAGAAGCATTTATTTTTCCCAGGTGCTACTATTAACCCCAAGGCCTTTGTCCCTACCATTGACCCCTTTAGAAACTTTCTTTTTTTTTTTTTTTTTTAAATTTTATTTTATTTTATTTGAGAACATACTGTACAGAGGGGTTACAATTACATGGGCAGGATAATGCATACATTTCTTACCAAGCATTGCAGCCTCCTTTAGAAACTTTCTAAGGGAATAATATTAGTTAGCACCAACCCCCTACACCAAGAACTTTAAAACTTGATATAACAATAACAACTCTGAAGTTTCTTCCAAAGAAATTAACTCTTTTTAATGATGTACTAAACCTGATACTAAAAGAAAGATTCCTTTTGAGAATATGTATCTTATGTCTAACCGACAATACGAAAACCAACTTTAAATTGAAACCAATTTTAAAATTTCACATTTAGTGCAGAAAACTTAGAAAATCCATAATTCAAACAAAGGGGAAAAAATAATGGCCCGATTATCACCAACTCTCATTCCACGATGCTGTTAGCACTTTCAAAATCCATTCTTCCTGTCTTTTCTGGGTATGCCTGTGTATTTTTATGCCGAATAAAAATAGAATATTTTTGTTCAATTACTTTTCTTGACAGAATTTGGACAGAGTCGTCGGTGTGAAAATAGCAATCTGTCCCCTTATTTATGTCTTCATCAAAGTTCTTTCTTCCTAACACGTGGTATTCCAGAATACATTACACCGAGACCCAAAAAGTGGCATCTCTAAGCCTCATTTCTGAGCTGTTCCCTGGTGCAGGTTGCCGATGGTGATGTAGGTTTTTTACACTGTTTTCCTGAACTGTCCTTTCCTGTCCTACCAGTGGAACAATGGAGTGTGGAGAGCTAGATTCACATCCAAGCTGTGATATGGCCACTGCAGCCATCTCTGCAAGCAGCTGCCTACTCTTTTTTAGGCCTCAGTACATGTATCTGTGAATTCAGGCCATCAGATTCCATTAGTTGTTTTCACACTTTAAGACCACAGAAGGAGCTGCTGTTTGAAATGGGGAGTGTGGAACGCCACCTGCTCAGATGCTCTCTACTCCTGCGGTCTCAAGCCTTTAACCCAGTTCTTCTCTTGTTGTGGTCACTGGCACTTGAGACCATTTTGTCAGAGTCTAAGAATCTGGTGGTGAACCAGGGGAGCACACAAGAACGGAACTTCACTTTCTGTGTGGGATCATGTTTCATGATCTTTAAAAAATAAAACAAATCAAAAAAAACCCCAGCTCTATTTCTTCCCAGTTTCAACTAGGTATCTCTGGACACCTGGACTTGAGGAGTCAGCCCCCTTTCCCTTTTGCTGTTCTGCGACCCTCCCACAGTGTGGGGGCTTCGGAAAGGCTGGTGCAAAATCCCTGTGAACTCATGGCCATGGCGTCTGACATTCTGCAGTAATCTGAAACCTCCCATTTTCCACCAGGCAACCTAGTTGGTAATGAGCCTTGGTGAGGACTAGATGCGGGGAGTAACACAGAATTCAAGGACACAATGTTTAGTTAAGTTTCTCCACTATAAATTATAATAAGATTAGTTCCCAGTCAGATACACATGTGATATTATAATTTTATTTGTAAGCCAGCTGCTTTTCATTCCCAAAAGCAGGCTTTCTGGAAGCTTTTATAGAAAAGGACAATACACTTCTGTAAAGTGAAATGATCTACTGATCAAATTCTACAACTTAAAATTCTTCAAATTTTCCAATGGTGAGGGACTTGTAAAGACAGTATTTACAGCGGCTGAAATGTCTGCAGGAAATGGCCTACATCGCATATATTCCATAAGTAGGTCTTGTCACTGTTCTTGAGACAGGGTTTTGCTATGTACCTCAGTTGGCTTCGACCTTGAGATCCTCCCACCTCCAGTCTCCTGAGTCCTGGGATTACAAGGTGTACATCAACATTTCTAGTAATTGAGATATTTTACCAGAATATATTATTTTATTTTTGGCTGTCTTTTGCAGAGCTAGGAATAGTTTCCGAAATAAAGATTTTCATGTGCCTGTGCAGTCTAAAAAGATCATCTGAGTTTTTTGAGAAAAATTTGGGCTGTAAATGAATGTACAGTCATGTTGTAGTCTGTTTCTTTCTCTCACTATCTTAGTCTTTATGTAAGAATCCTGTTTTGGGATTCTGAGACAGAGTGGGATGAGCTGGGAGCATAAAAGGGGACTCACTCTTACAAACTGTTACTATAACAAATTGGGATTGAGGATACAGTACCTGAGAGAGAAGGAGGAGAGCCAACAGGAGTTGAAGGGTTTGATGAGAAGCTGTTGTTAGTGTGATCTGGAGAATAGATCTTAACACAGTAAGGAGAAAAAAAAAATCCCTCATTTAGTAAGAATAAACAGGTAACAATTTTTAAACTAGAAAGTTACTGATGCAATTCATTTACAACTTACAGGTTATAAGATGATACAGCTGGTTCAACCTGAGTACCAACATTTTAAAATGAAAAACTTAAAACTCGGTGAGCAGGCTTCGGGTTTCATTCGTTTCCCGCCAATAAGGAAGGGACTGTGTGGCCAAGAGTGCCCAACTTCCTTTGCCTTCTCTACAAAATGAGAAGCCACGCGGTATCATTTCTAAGGTTCTTCCCCAAGTCCCCACTCCTATGCCCTTATTGGGGCATTAGATTCACGGTAGAAGATGAAATAAGTACTTTTCTTTAGAACAGAAGCAAACTGAATTTATTATATGTTCCCAATGCTAAGTGAAAGTAATTGAAGATACACATCTTAGAGACGTATCTCAACTAGATCACAAGTTTAGCTTTTGAAAAATAATACCAGGTATTTTCAAACATAGATGGTATGTCGTTTGGTGGCCAGGGAGCATATAGGAAATATTTAAGCCCAGCTGCATGGCAGGAGTGGGAAGAACAGAAAAGTTTTGGCCCTCCAGGTGACAGTGACACGACATTTCCTCAAGGGCCTGGATTATTATCATCTCCCACCACCCCAAATGTTTGCAATGAATTCTTGCAAAAGTCAGTCCTATCTGATTCATCAGCATCCACATTACTCCAAAACACACAAAGCCAAAGGCAAGGACACTACCCCTAGATAGATGGGTTAGTATCACTGTAGCAACACATGGAACAGGGCAGCCATACACTTGTAAGAAATGAGCATCCTCTGAACTTCCCAGTGACTACTATGCCAGAAAAGCTAGTCTTTTAAAAAGAAAATTCAAAGCGATTTGTCATTCACTTTCTAAAATTCCACATGTCCGTGTCTGATTAAAGTTCACCCAGCTACAAGGAAGCCCGTGGTGCCCAAAGTCAATATTTCCTCACCGAGGCAAGTGCTTTCCCCAGAGCGTCTCCAGTCTGGGAGCTGCCTGCTGCCCCGCTTCCTCTATTTGCTGCAAAAACAAAAGGCAAAATATGAAAACCAGGCAGTGAAATGTCTAACAAATTTCTATTCCTGGTCCATTTACTCACAATTTAATTGCATTTTTAATGCTAATTACAACACATTAATCTTTAATTAGCATTAATTTGTTTGCTGAGGTAGATGTCAACTATATTCATGTTACTTTTTTTACAGATAGAACATAAACCTGACACCTTGCTTTAAAGACAAAGTGTTTTACTTGCTATTACTTTCTCCCTAGTTGCTTTTGAGTCCTTATTGGTAGCTAACAAGCCAGCCCGTGGTGGTCACATCCCTAAGAAGTCCGTAGGCTTGCAGGGCTTAGACACCCCTCCAAGGCTAGCTTTTCTCTAGACTCTTGTATCAGACTGACTTATCATCGTGAATAATTTAAATTAGTTTTCAAGAAAAACAAATGACAGAAAAGTGGGACATTCCAGAAAAATCTGTAACTGGCCTAATACCAAGGGAAAATACTTTTAATATTTGAAGTAACATATTTTCCACACATTTAGGCCTGTATCCACACTCAAATAATATGAATTTATGTCACTAAACATCAGTATGGTCTCAAATTGTAGAAATCAAACAAATCTATATGGCAAGAAATCAACTGGTATTTAATCTCACTGGTACTTTTATCAATAAAAAGGACAAAGGTAAGTATTAGTAAAAGGTATATATTCTAGGGTACAACGAAGTCAACTCTTATTTACCAAAGATCTTTTGAAGGTAACTTGCCTTTAGAACCATAAATTGGTATACATGGTAAAATAGTATACAGAGAACCAGTGTTCTTCTGAGCCCTTTAGTATTAAAACGATGCCTAGAACCTGGAGGAACGATGCATTTATTAAGGTTTCATTGCTAGCCAATAGACACAGTGCTCAAATTAGACTTACTGCAGTTCTCAGGGAAAATTTCTTTACCATTTTGTCAAATAAGAAAAGAAAATCTTAAATCCACTGATGGAACTAGACCGAACTTCACTGCACACTTCCACAACCAAAATAAAAGTTCCCTATCCTATTCTTGAGAAGGGTCTGTTCCTTGGACACCTGTACAACACCTTGTCAGGTCTGTCACCTCTAAGGTGGCCAAAGCCTTTGCTTTCCTAAGACCCAATGTCACCTACCTGACTTCTATTTAGCATACTTGAACTATGAGTGCTATTTTTGTAAATTTAGGTGCTAGACACATCAATTAGACATCATTGGCTATCTACTTTACTTGCTTAGCAACACCCATATACATCTTCACATGTTAATTACTAAAATACTGCAAGAACACTGGTAGATGATAAAACACGATATAATTACTTTTTGAGAACATACATAAAGTTGTGAAACTTTAAATTATAACTTTAAATTACGAGAGATTTTACAACTGAAGATTCGAGGAATTATAAACTCTTTAAAATTGGGGTATAATACCATAGAAATGGGTTAGAAGAAACAACTTGGAAAGATATCAAACATATTAACCACCTGAGATTGTACTGTGAAAACAAGGAGAGATTCTGTGCTAAAGAGTTTAAAAACTTAAGAGGATATAATGAGAATTTGAAGATAAGGACAGCATACACACTTTTTTTCAACATGCATTATCATGGTATCTAGGGGATAATTTATCTTTGTATTTCTAGAAGCAATGCTATCATTTCATTATTGTACACTTAAAAATTAGAGTTGGCAGTCAAAATAACTTGTGACCTCTGACTGATCTGAATATAGATCTCTATTAAATGAAAATTCTGAGTCCCTGGGGAGAAAGGGGGGGGGGCACCTTATCTACCAAAATAAAAAAAAATAGAAAGAAAAAAGAGAACAAGATGATGTTCCAATTATAGATAAAAATTTACTACAGTAGCAAGTTTCAGAAGATTAATTCTCCCTTTGAACAATTTTAAAATGAAGATTATGAATTTTAAAATACATATTTTTTCATGAAACCAAACAGAAAGAATTGAAAATCAATCAAGATATTTTAAGAACATTCGCAAATTATGTGTCACATAATTTCCATGTACATGTTTATTATCTTTTGGGTTTTTTCCCTCTTTTAACAGTACACATTCCTAACAAGGATTTCTATTAGTATCTTTTTCATACAGGAGTTATTAAAAACTCAGGAAACAGCATCAAAAAGAGAATCAATTCCTTAACTCATCTTGCTATGAAAATGTTTCAGGTAACTACAAAGGATACTCATGGAAGACAATGATAAGAACAGACTTTTTTTTTTTTTTTTTTTAACATGAAGCCATTTTACCTTACAACAGCTGGCCAGCCAAACCCAAAGGCTTAAATTTCAAAGCAGTTCAGTGGCTCGGTGTACCCTTTCACTCGGAATGTCTTTTGTTCTGTTCCAGGAAACACTGGAGGGGACACATTTTCAAGATTCCCTGAACAAGTTAAGTGAGATGGTCTCCTATCTTGAAGATGTCTCTTTTTATTTGTGGGACTGATATATCAAAGGGCATACAGAAATAGAGATATATTTTTAATTCCCAAATGGCAAATGCATATATATATAATTATTTTACATTGAAAAATGGGTCATGTTTTGCAAAACACACATCATATCCACCCTTTCAGATTAATATATCAGGGCTTGATTGCTATTCTTGGCTCAAGTTTGGGTCAACTTGTATTATTAGAACTAACCCAGATGCCCATGTAACAGAAATAAAGATGCAAACGTTGCCTTCATCTGGCAAAGAACTGGATCAACTTCTTGGGTTATTTTGGTTCAAATCAATTTCTCTCAAGGGGGAAAAAGTAATCAGCCTCTAAGTAGAGCTGTAACATAAATATGAATGGAAGATGAGCAGTTAGTAAGAGGAACTGTAATTTCGTAGGAGGATTTGACACTGCCACCACCAAGTATTGTTCTGAGGGCCTCAACACAGGTGCTGTTGCTGGCTGGGAGATGAAGCAGAAGGAAGGGTTTCATATCCAGGCATAAACGCTGGACCACCCTGAGTTAGTCTTCCCTTTGGGGATGGAGTGATTCCCATCAGGCCACACCCATAATAAAACGCCAGGATGAGTGGTACCTGGGGATCAGCCTTGAAAATCAGATTTGGAAAAATGTTTCTCCTTCACTGCACACCCGTAACCTGGGTCAGAATATCAAAGGAATAGAAGTACAGTGCCTATTGCTTGAGAAGGGAGGGCTGCTGTAAGAGGTTTCTCTGAGTTGAGTACGAGTAATCCTCACATTGCTAAACTATAGGAAGAAGCTTAACAGTGCCATATAATAAAGACAATAAAGGAGAAAAAAAAGACAAGCTGTCTAGCACTTCATTATAATGCTGTTAGACTAAAATGTAACTCAAATATAGGCTGCAACCCACTAGTGCTTAGCAGGAAGGATTCCAAGACACTGGGACACCAGTTGGATCTCCTGAATATATGCAAGGAATAGTGGCAGAAACACTATACTCGTTTACTGCTGTCTGTTGCTGGTCTTTACAACTAAGATGCCCTGACTCTGAAATCATACTCTTAGGCTTTGTGACTGGTCATCATACCCAAATGTATCTGAAGGCTTAAGATCACTGTAAAAGACCAAGCAACGAGTTTGTGATTATCTCTAATGATAAAATTATCAGGAAAGCAAGTTCTCAAGGGAAAAGGAACAAAGTTTTCTTATTGAGAAAGGCACATCTTTCCATGTACCATGAATACAAGTATGCCATCAGAATTCAGGATTTTAAGCCAGATTATTTCAGGAATCACATAGATATACTGGACTAATCTTTAGCACATGGTATATTCATCAATCTTGGTAGGCTGTTCCTTCAACACTACTTGGTTTGAGGTTTAGAAACATGAGAAATATAATGCCTTAGAAAGCTGGCCAGTTAAACTCTAATAAAACAATAGTAGTTATTATAACCACTATGTCAGTTATATGCCTAGTTCCCTCTGAAGGGAGGGTGTGTAGCCACAAACCACAAGTATATGCTCTGTGAACATATACATATGGCAAGTCCCAGTGGTGGCTGGAGAGAAAGCTAGGATGCTTCTCAGCCTTGAGTAGACTCCCGGGTCTTTGCTATGGTAGAGGATCTTTTTAACTCTTTATGATCAGTAAGGGCTATTGGCCTTTATTACTGAAGTAGAAAGGAAATATACACACAGTAAAACATAATAGTTGTTGTCCTTTGGATATCTTTATTTTCTCTAGCTTGTTTCTAATGACTTACTACTCTTCCTCCTCTGTATGCATGCTTAGATGCAAAGGGAATGAATTGTCCTGCTTTTGAGTCCCACTAGCTCCATGACTTAGAACGGTTTTTGGAATCAAGCTAGCGGGTTCTGATTCTGATAAACCTTCAGATTTCTGACAGCTTCTCTCCCTAACTAGGTGCTGTTAATTGGAAAGACTGTCAATCCATGCTGTGTCTAAATTTATTGACTTCATATAAACTTATACACTGCTTAAGATGCCTTGACAATTCAGAAATGGCTAACATTATCTGCAGAGATTTGAATCACATTCGAGATAAAAGTAGTGGATCATATGTCATAAATAAAGTATTTTAGCAAGAGTCATTTAAAGGAATCCTTTCAGAATTTAATCTAAGTTGCACCCTTTCTAAAGGTATCTTGAAAAGAAAAAAGGTTAAAAAAAAAGACATTGGTCATTAAAGGACAAAAGAAGCCCAAACAAGAAACAATGGTCACTTCTCTAGGCATTTAGTAAACCACCTCAAGCCTTAGGTAGCACATTCCATCTTTCAAACCCAGAAGGCAGGAAACAGCCAAGTGAAACTCCAGAGAGGTTACTCTGGATGGCTGCAGAACTTACATCTCCCTCCACAGGCACTGGGTTGTTCTGTCATCGGTTCAGGACAATGGCTAACCAGTAAGAAGACATATTATCACACAAAATTGAGACACGGCACAGTGGTCTTCTAAATAGGAAAACAGCTTTCTCAGCCATCAATGCCATATATGAGCAGAATGCACTGCCTTGACACTCTCCACCAAGCAAAAACTTGAAAAATGTGATGTCCATGTGTTAGTGCTTGAACGCCATTCTTACGGCATTAGTACTGCTTACAGTTATTTTCTACAAAAATCATGTGTATAATCTCGACCATGTGTTAGGCTATGTGTTCCCTATTTACCAATTATTTAATTAGCTCTGTTTGTTCTTTGAGATACAGGCAACGTAATATTTCTTTATTCCCTGCATTTCAGAATGAGTGAGTATATGCCAAGTATTTTCAAAAGTCTACATATGTATTCTATTACTCCATACTGTGTGTGAGGAAAGTATCACTAACATCAGAAGAGAAAGCTTCTCTTCTTGTTATATAGACATGCTGCCATTACTGCCTTCTTCCACAATCCAAAGACCAAACCAAAGCCTAAGAGGATTTATGTGTGAAGACACATGAGCCACTGGGACACCACGTATAACTGAGATGGCTTATGAATTTTCCTCTGAATTTGTATTTAAGGAATTGGAGAAGCTCTTGCAGGTAAAGGAGAACATTCTCAGTTGTTCTAGAATGTTCTCCCTTAAAGTAATGCCTGCACTTATGCAAATGAACAAATGTCTGTTGCTCTAAAAGGCAAAAATGACCATGTGAACTTACTTCTTGAAGAGTCATGAAGCCCTTTCATATTCTGTTAATGGGTCATGACAAGTATACTTGACTAATATGAAATAATTTGCATAGCAAATGCCCTCTTCTGGGTTCCAAAAATATCTTTTTAAATTAAAAATTAAAAATATCTTTTTAAATTGTGGTCTTTGGTTATTGTCTAGAACTTCAAGCAGCAACTGGAGACCTAGAGAAAATTAAATCCACCCTTTGCGGGAAGCTGAGCATTTACCTTTCAGAAGTAATCCATTGCCCAACTCTATCCAGACTCACTGAGTGGATGGTCTTGTTCACCCACAAACTAATGATGACAGGGTCAGCTTAAAGTAAGCAAATCTTAGTCCCACTGAGACTCGTGGCAAAGATGTGTAGAGCTCATGGAGGATAATTTTTACCATAGCATTCTTTTATTCCATGGCCCACTGCTTTTCTCCTAGGAAGATTTCAAATCAATGTTTTTCAAAGAATGTCTAAATATATTTTCCCCAGCTCCATGGTCTGCTCTACCTTCATACCTTCCTTGAGAAGAAAATTACTCAAACCAAAAGTAGACAGGAAATGTGCCATGTAAGAGGATGACGGACTGGTCATCTTCTTTATAACCCAACCACATGACTGAGAAAAAGGGGCTTTCCATTTGTCAAACCACACTGAAGTGAAATATGCTTTTCTCACTCTTTCAGTTCTGCACTTTTCTTTCTTTCTTCTTGTTTCTGCCCAAACTGTATTGACAGCTCTCAAAAGTTCCCCCCACGTGACCTCTGTCCTTAGCTCTCCAAGGTCAAACTGGTGCAAACACTTGCAGCGGCCTTATTATGCAAAGTTACAGAAATGGAAAATGTTTCCTAAATTTGCTTCTCAGTGAAACATGCTAGGGCAGGCTGCTAGGTGGCTCATCTCAAGTGTGAAATACATTGTTGAATAAGCAGTGAAGGTATTATTTAGGCAGAAAGTGTATATTCGCAACATTTCTAAACACATCTCCCCCCATCAAGAGCTCTTCCCACAGAAGTGATTCATAGCACTTTGAAAGTTCAAAAAGGAAAAAAATGACAAAAAGCTAAGAGGGAATCAACAGGAGTATTGTTCTCTTACATGATAGTCTCTCAAAAACAACACTAAGTCAGGGATCCTCCAAGAATGATGGATGGCTAAGCCACGTGTGGACTTGAACACAGCAAGTTACAACCAGAAGTTCTTGAGGTTTTATGAAGACACTTGAGTATCAAGATGTGCTACTCACTCCAATGGGAAGGTGTCAGGGCAAATTCACAAGAGGACAGTTGCTTCCTCACCAACCTTCATCCCAGAGGTAGCTGGACATTCTGCCTAGCTTTCCTCTCAGGAAGAGAGCACTACAAGGAACCATCTGCCTTAGGAGAAGACCACAGTCAGCATCTTGGAAGGTGAGTGGAGGAGGGCCCAGTTCATTTAGCAACAACACATTTTTCCAGCCTTCATTCATTAGAAATCTGCTTATGAGACAGCAGCTAGTAATTTCTGGCCCATTAATGTTCAGAGATCTATTCTCTGTAAGTGAGCAAAGTCTTGCTACTCAAGGGTTCCATAATGCCACATATTCTTAGTTGGTCATAGTTATCTAGCTATTAATCGTCACTTGAGGATTTCACATCACTAGTCTATAAAAGGCAGTGACATATCAGGTAAAGACCTCAGCAGAGCAGCTGACATTTGAGAAATAGTTAATAACTATTAAGAGCTATGCTGCCTGCATCTCACCAGTCTTCTATAAGAAGCCTTGTCTTATGAAAAGTTCACTTTGTTCACTGAAAATGTGAGAAATACAAGAGAGTTTTGGTCTTTGAAAACTCTTGTTTTGTTAAGGATTCATGGACAAAGTAGTCACATTTCAGTTTCTTGGGACTTAAAAGTGATGATGATCAAGCTAGCAGCTAGTCTGTTATCCATTGTTTGGTTGATCCGTTTGTTCGGTCACTCAATTATATGACAAATAGTGCTTGCCTAGTTGCTATTTAGTTATGAGGCTCTTCATAAGCAATCCCTGCCACGGATTGCTGGTGTGAGAGCTGGTATGTGTGTAACTCACCCATTATACTGTCTGTCCCGTTGGCAGGAGGCGTGCAGGAAGAGGTGCTGTAATGGTTTGTGCCACTGCGATGGAAAGTGGACATCGGCGGAAGACTGGAATTGATGTCTGCTGAGGAGTGTGATGGATAGCTCTATAGCAAGAGGCAGAAAAAGGAGGCCGTATTCAATCACAACATAGTTAGTGAATTCATTTCCTAATACTGCTTTCAGAACTCTATATTCTGCAAGGGAGACAGCTTTTAGAATTTCAAAAGAGCCCAAGAATACATCTTGTTTAGATCTGACAACTTTCATTTTCCAAATAATAAAATACATAGTTGGTCTGGGTTTGCATCAAATATCAAAGAATATAATGGCAATGTAGGACACTGAGAAATGATCACAGTCCCCAGATCTACACATTACTGCTTAAAAATCATCTCTAAGATTTCAGGAACATAGAAAACAGCCACAACTATTATTTCTGTACGGCTCAGTATTAGGTGAAAAAGATTCTAATACACAAGGACTACAATAATACAAAGAACCCTTCGGGACACAAGATATTTCACTGCGACCTCTTGGATATTAAATAACAAAGTGTAGCCCATTCACATCTTCTTCCTTCCAAACTCTGTCATCTTTCTGAACCTCTGAGGTATGAATGAAATGGTAAATGGAAAAAAAAAATTTAAATCACTAATGATTAATTTTTTTCTAAAGCATCAACATACAAAGGCTAAAAATCAGTAGCTATAGTAAATTAAATGTGAACCAAAAAACCCGACAGTTTATTTTTACATTTTTTTCCTTACATGTCTTTTCTATAGAGTGGACTGTGATAAAGACTATTTTTAGATCATTTGGCTTTGAGTTTATTCATAATCAGTTGCCCAAATCAGCTACATCCTTGAGGACATACCACAAATTATAAGGTAGAAAATCAGTTGCTATCTATCCATCCCATTCAGAAATGAGTAGTTCACTAAGGGGACGTGGTAATTTATAAGGATATCCTAAGCTATTTTCCTTTTCAAGAAAGAAGTAGCTAGGCATTGGTAGCTCATGCCTGTAATCCTAACAACTCAGAGGACAGAGATCCAAGGATTGTGGTTCAAAGCTAGCCTGGGCAAGAAAGCCCATGACACTCCTATCTCCAATAAACTACTCAGAAAAGGCTGGAAAGTGGTGCTGTGGCTCAAGTGGTAAGAGCACTAGCCTTGAGCACAGAAAAGGCTCAGGGTCAGCGCCTGGGCTCTGAGTTCAAGCTGCAGGACAGCCAAAAAGAAGGGGAAGAAGTAGCCTGAAAAGTTGTGCATGTAGGTATTAAACATGGTGCAGATACATAAAAGCATAACATTTAAAATGAAACTTTCTTCATTGGTGATATCAATAATGACGTAATAAATCCAATATTGGAGATAGTCTTCATATTGATGAATTTCAAATTACAGATGCAATGTGATGATTATATGAAGGGGCATTGAACAACCAAATATTTATTCACAGGAGCAAAAGTGGTTTCTTGCTGCTTTCTTATTGGTTTAGCGATAACCACATCGAGTTCTGTGTCTTCCTGGAAGACACCCTTCCATGATCTCTTCTCCAAGTGCCTAGTGCATGTTCATCCGCATTACGCTATTTTTAATACTCCGTTATGTTTTTGCCTATCACTGCTGGGTCTTTCGAGACCATTTCCATCTGGACTTATGATTTCTTCCCTGGGACGGAATGAAGCTGACTTCTGTATGTCACAACCTGTGGTGAGTAGTGACACAATGATGCTATATGCTCAACGAATAGCTCGTAATCAGAGCTTAATAGGCATTGGACTGAAATATGAATCATCTGACAGACAATTGAATGGTTTAGAGAATGAATTTACATGTCAGAGTTGGGTCAGCCCAGGACATATGCCTGCCTTTAAAATGCCTCTAAAGCCCTACAGCAGTCCAATTAAAACCCTTCATTGAAAAAGCAACAATCTCACACTTTAACCTTTTAAAGTTCATGAAAATGCCTTCCATACTTTTAAAGTATTAATATTTTTGTAGAATGTACAAATTACACATCAATTAGCAGTACATAAAAATCACAAAGAGGAACAGAATTATGCAAAAATATTAAATAAGTATACTAACCAGAAGATGAGACAGGAAAAAGATAATCAACCATAAGGCATTTTGGACCCTTTCAACTTTATGTAAAATGAGCAATAATTTAGGAGATAGCATATGAAAGATTAACTGTGTAGGAAATACAAGAAAAATTAATCCATACAGATTTTAATGAGGACCTGCTGCAATCTACATTAAATCAGATTTTAGAGATTCATAGAAAATTAGATGCTGAAGGAAATTAGTAAGATTATAACTAGATTACTTTCCAGAGAAAAGTATCTTGAAAACTATGGCCACACAGACATAACAAATACACCTCAGAGAACATTTGTGATATGCAAATGATGCATCTTTTGGAGGATTTAGGGATCAGCACTAAGAGGTCGTATTAGTCTCTTCCTCCAATGGTCACAGTCTGCCCTGCTTGCTACACAAAGTCCCAAAGAGAACATTATCAAATAAGTGTCCTGGCTTTCCATGCCCACTTTTCGTTTATTTTTATGGGTGAGACTCAATAGTGTCTTCAGTCTATAGACGGGGCAAGTAAGTGTTGCACATGTTTGCATGGGTGACTTGTTTTGACCTATGATTTGAACATTTAATGATTAATATTCGGAAGCTCAAACTAAGAATAAAATCCTTTATACAAGCAAGATTTTACAATCTTGACATGACTGCGTGTTGTGTGAGACACTTCTTTGCACAGGGACTCTTACTGTAGTAGAGAATGTCTGCCCGTATCTCTCTGGCCTTCCCACCAGATCCAGTAGCATCTACCTGTTTATCATTACAAAAATGCCTCCAGACACTGCCAGTAAGTATCAGTTGAGAAGTACGGTGGTAACAAAAGAAAAGATCACAGGACTTCCTTTATATTAAATTTTCAGCTACTTAGGAATATTTTACTCTGTAGTGAAAAGACCATGCCTAATCATGCCAGACAGTGAGGACTCTATCCTACTTTTCAAAGGAACTCTGCCAAGTCATTCCAAACCTAAATCTTCCACAACAACCCATTCCAAAGCTTAACCACAAACTCTGAGTGATTTTGTGTGTGTATCTCCAATAAGCAGTGATTAGCAGACGGATTCTGCTGTAGAGGCTGAAATGCAAAGGGGATTTAAAGATTTAAACTTGTGGCTTGACCATGCTATTGAAATATGTGGATTTTAAGCTTTATAATTATGTGCCCTATTATTAACAATAACATACACTGATAAGGTGATGATGTTTCCAAAATACTTTTACCTTTAGAGATAATACCAACATGGTCAAATTATACCCAAAATAATCCATGGAAAGATCTTTGCTTTCTCTTAAACCACTTCTTCATTAAGTAAAGGCCAATCCAAATACTATGGATTAACTTATAAGGAACTTCCATAATTTCAAGTAAAAGATCCTACCGCTACTGTAATGTTGACATTATTCTCAATCAGTGCCATATTCTTCAAAGTCACTTCAGTGAGATATTTTCAAATGGCTAAATTACAATAACTAGATGTACTAATTCAACAGCTTGGCTCTCAGTAGGAAAACTTATTAGGATACTTATTTATTTACCCTTTAAAACAGAACCCTAGTCTCTGAAATTTGCCTCTTTATCATGTTAGAATAGGCGAAGATGGATATACAGCTCCTCATGTAGCTTACTGTGGTAATTTCCTCAAAAATGATCTTTTTCACTAGTTGGTAATGGGGTTTATTCAAACTTTTTCTAGAAGGAATGTAGTTAGGTTCCTTTGAAACTATACTTTTTGTGCATTTGACACATTTTACAGATTTCCTTACCCATGGGATGGATTTGTGATACAAATCAAATCACGTAATGTGAAATTCTAGAGCATGTAGGAAAAAAACTGTAAATATAGGACAGAAGAAAAACAAACATGTCTTGGAATAGTGAGCTGCACTTCAAAGTACTTAAATTCCAACATATTAATTAGTATATCTCCTCAATTTTCATTTGTAATTGATCCCCAAGTTATGATCATGAGTTACTAGACAAGTGGAAAACAATGGCATAGAAGCAAAATGTTGCCCAGAAGATAATTCAGTATACTGAAAGCTGATATTCTTCCAAGCTTAGAGGGGGTAGGAGAAAGGTACACTTAAAAACCAGGCATTTGCTATTGCCGGCAAATGTGCTAAATTTAGAGGAAGTTTATGACTGATTCACATACTTCACTTTGGAAGATCATACAAAAAGGTCAATTCATCTCCACCAGCTGCCTCTCAGGAATGGAGGTGAACTGACCAAATATGGTCTTTATCAGCAGGACCAGTCAAGTAGGTATTATCAAGGATACCAAAAATCTCAGTATATGGAATCTTTTTGGTTTTCACAGTTATGACATAGACCCTCTTCCTACGTCTGATACATTTGAGCAAAAGAGAAGAAAGGACATAGAAAGCCGGGAAACATTATTTCTTTCATCAGAACAGACAAAGAATCAAATATGGATATGAGAAGAAACAGACGACTCTAAGATTTCATGATCTAGACTTTTCCCTCCAGTCAACGACACACCTAAATTCACGAGTGGATTCTGGATTGTATCGATTTTTAAATCAAAACTGAGTTGCTTTTATCACAACAAAGAAATAGAGTAGGATGAATGAAAACTGGGAAAACCTTTACCAATGAAAGGCAACATTTTTAGAGCCCATCAGTTTTTACAGTATAAGTAGCAGATTGGGATAAGTGGAGTTAAAGTTAAACTACAAAAAGAAAGAAAAAGAAAGGAAGAAAGGAAGAAAGAAAGAAAGGAAGAAAGAAAGGAAGAAAAGAAAGGAAGAAAGGAAGAAAGAAAGAAAGAAAGAAAGAAAGAAAGAAAGAAAGAAAGAAAGAAAGAGAAAGAAAGAAAGAAAGAAAGAAAGAAAGAAAGAAAGAAAGAAAGAAAGAAAGAAAGAAAGAGGAAAACCAGAGGAACACAGGGTAAATGAGCACAGCAATGGTATTCACTGGAAACTGTGTTGAAAATGAACTATACAACTTGTGGGTGGAATGGAAGGGAAAAACTGGGAGAGAATGAGAGAAGGGGTGACACTGTCCAAAAGGAAATGTACTCTTTGTCTGACTTAGGTAACTGTAACCTCTCTGTTTTGAACATTTTCAAATAAAAACAGTAATAAAAAATAGGATCAATGGGGAAACCTCAGGATGGACAGCTGTTACTACTAAGAGTGTATAGAAAGCATGAACGCTTTTCAAGTGTGTTCCAGCAGATCCCACTGTCATAGAAATACTCATGTGTGATGCATATAACCGTCTCTCCAAGCCTCCTATCACGGCTCTCTGAAGTGTATCCTTTAATAATTCAGATAAAAAAGGGGGGTGGAGAAACCTCACAGAACAAAGAACTGCCATACCTAAAATCCTGCAACTCAAACACTGTGTGTTTATCCACGAAAGGAAGCTGACATCATGAGAAAGAAAAGAACAGACCCAAACACAATAAACACAAAAGAACAATCACCAAAAAGTTCTAGAAGGTTTACAAGGATGATCTGACTCATCTGTGTCTTTGATCACAGAAATAACACAACTCCAAGAGTAACGGGCGAGTCCTATTTTTATACTCGTTACACAGTCCTTGTGTCTGGGCAATGGAGGACAGATAAGAGATTTCCTAAGTTAGGCATGCTCATATCCATTCTCATGTTAGGTCTGACTTACCAAACGTTCATGTGGATGCAGGCTACAGTAGCTGCTAGACTGTGGAATGTGAGAAGAATTGCCCAACATTCCCCCGTAGCCAGGCTGATTCATCCCACTGGAGGAGCTCCAAGGGTCACTGCTGTGATGGCCATCTGCAAAGGACAAAGACAACCACGACTGCTCTGAGCTTATAAAATAGTGGGCTTTTCATATACATAAAAGTAACTGCTTGTTGTAAATCCATCTTTGTGTTGGCTAGCTCATTACATCAGAAGACAGTCATCATTACTTTTTTCCCAAGTGACCTCTTGTATTGTTAAACAAATGGAAATATTTCATAAGGTCAGTGTTCTTAGTAAAAACGCAACAGATCGTGCTGCTTTGTGCAATGATACCCTATGGCACCAAGGTAATTCCTAGGAAATGAAACCTTTCTTACAAGTCCTGGACCCCTCCCTACTTTTATGAAAACCAACTAAAAATGTAAGTGGTTCTCAAGATTTGGGGTAAAAACAAAACATGCTCAGACATTACAGAGTTGGCAAGTTTGCAGGATGGAAAAGCATATAGCAAAATAAATAATGGGAAAAAACCAACTCAGATTTCATAGGTTTCATTTTTATCACATGCACAATAGATGGAATTAATGTTGGAATTACGGTATGCAGGCAAGAGGGATTGCAAAAAAAAAATCAAGAAAGCAAAGTCATGTCTGCGAGTCTGACAGCATCAGAGTTCTATGTAAGACATGGAAAATAAAGTTAAAAAGAGGAAATCATAGTTTAAAATATGCTCCAGTCAGTTTCCAAATCCCTCCTGTAACTGAATATTCTTTCAAGAATCAAATTCCCTGGGCATGAGGCATGCCCTACCGAAGGACACTGTGACAGAGGGATGTCGCTGTACCTGTGTTTATCATGTGGAACTCAGGATTATTACATTTTCTTTTTTGTAGCACTGAGGTATAGCCTCAGAGCCTCCTGTGTGCTAGACAGATGCTCTCCCAAGTGAAGAAAGGAACAGACCCAGGCCCTGGTCCTTTAGTGCTTTATTTATTTTTTGGATAGGTCTCATTTTTGCCCCAGTTACTTTGGGACTATAATCCCTACCCACAAGTCTTGTGTAGCTGGGAACACAGATATGTGGCACTACACCTAACTTGTTTGGTAAGATAGGATCTTGCTAACTTTTTGTTTATTCTGATCTTACACTGCAACCCTCCTTATCTTCAGGTCCTGAGTAGCTGGGATTACAAGCATGAATGAGCACATCCAGCACACAGAATCTTTAAAGGGTTATTACGTTTCATACTGAAGATTTAGAATTCAAGTTAAAGAAGTATCACCTTAAATTCAAATATGACGTTCAAGAATACTAACTTTAAATACACAGCACATCTGACAAGGTAAGAAAATATATCATCACATAGAGACTCCTGAAGCATGTAGACTACATGATACACAGAGGGCCAAAATATTTAGGATTGTTAATGCAGCACATGCCGCTTTGATGCAGACTCATAAAAATATGTATTTTACATAAATTATGCTTTTCACAATAAATTAGTATTTACCACATCCCATGATCTAAACACAATGTTGTTTTGAAAGAATAGAATTAGGTGTGTGCAAATTAATTGTGCTCATCATAAATGTCAACTCAAATTTTCCCTTTTTGTGTATTCATCTGCAGCAATATTCTCTTTATTCTGATCTGCTACTGTTTTCGTCTACATGGCCTCCCATATACCCTGGACAGTTCAAGTCAGCCACCTTTTCTTAAGAAGATAGAATAAACAAAACAAAACTGCCGGGCACTGGTGGCTCACGCCTGTAATCCTAGCTACTCAGGAGGCTGTTTGAGGATTGTGGTTCAAAGCTAGCTCAGGCAAAAATGTCTGCGAGACTCTTACCTCTAATAAACCACTAGAAAACCGGAGGTGGCACTGTGGCTCGAGTGGTAGAGTGCTAGCCTTGAGCTTAAGAGCTCAGGGACAGCGCCCAGGCCCATAGTTCAAGCCCCATAACCAACAGAAAACAAAACAAAACAAAAAAAAGCCCCCAAAATAAAAAACACTACCATCCAGTTCTTGATAAAAACCTGGTTTGAGTGATGAAATCTTGAGTTGACAGCATTTCTAAGTTTCATCCACTACTCAAGAAAGAGGGTAGCTAACACCAAGAAAACTACTATTCCTCTTTAAACATTCTATTGTTTTATTGTGTGTTAAGTAGTTGTGCGAAGGGGTTTCAATTCAACTCGTCAACTTATCCTCATACACTGACAATACATCTTGGTCAATGTCCCTCCTTCTATCTACTGGTCATAGCTGAAGATGGTAAGTCTGTTCATGGCATAGACTCAGTCAAGTGACTAGCCACTGTGTCCCTGGACAGTTCCACCTAAGACAGCTGCAATGACACAGGATCAATACGAACGTGGACTCCATTATGTGTGGAACAAAAGCTCTCTATTCCTGTGGCACCCATTGACTTGATTTTATAGATTTTTTTTTCCTGTGGAATTTTACATGTCAACTAGCAACCTGAGAGAGAGCTAACATTTGAAAGGGAAAGAAGATAAATTCATTTGTATCAGAATAATTTTGAGTACATCTACTGGACTCTGAGATACCAGGTTGCTCCTTGGTGTTTCTGCACCAGATACGCCCTTCTTTCTTAAGAGTTACATGAGGCAGGAGGTCCCGTGACACTCAAATAAGGTTTGCGCACTCAAGCACAAAGAGCTACGGGCTCTGCAGAGAGGAGTAAACTCTTGGTAAACTGCACATCTACATTCCTGGTAGCTTGTCAACAAGATCATCATATTTTGAAAATTAGGGTCATAGACATAGCAGTCAGGGAACTCTCAGCTGTATGCTGGCAACAGTCCATTTTTTCAAGTAGCTGCTGTGATTGTGAACACTGGATTTTCTCCAGGCAGTGGAAAGGAGCTAGCTGTCACTAGTGGCTATTATCTATCAATTCTTAGGACACCTATCTGCTTTTAATGGACAATTACAGGAATATATATAATGTATATGTATATATACATACATATACATTATCCAACATAAAGATGAAAATTTTCAGTATTTCCCTCACTTTCAAAAGAGAACAAAAGCAAAAACAGAACTAAACTAAACAACAACAACAACAAAACATTTGGGCCTTTGATCTATCAGTTACAATGCTGGGAGTAAGTTTTCGCTGTGAAATATTCTAATGTCATATGAAAAAGTGCCCATGTTCTTACTGATTAGTAAGTGGCTGGAAATTTTACATAAAGCTAGGCCTAAGGATCACACATTCCCTCATAGGTAAATCAGGCATATTCAACACATACTGAAGGATGAGGAACAAATGCCAATCTTGGAAGTCCGACAGCAATGTCAGGTGCACATGAAACAGATGGAGTTAATCATGTTTGTTGTTGTTGCTGTTGTTTGTGTTTTGCCTTTTTGGTACTGGAGCTTGAACTTATGAGTCTTGTGCTCGTTGGGCTTATTTGTTCATAACTGGTGGTGTATCACTTGAGTCATACTTCTAAGCTTTGCTTTTTTGTTGGTTATTTTAGAGATGGAGTCTGGTGAACTTTTCTGCCCAGGCTGCCTTTCAAACCATGATCCTGTTGGTCTCAGCCTCCTAAGTGGCTAGGATTACAAGTGTAAGTTATTGGCGCCTGACAATTTAATTTTTAACTCATCACTGCACAATGGGCTTGGATTTCAAAGAAAGAAGTCTTAGTAAAGTTTAAGTAAATTAACTAATTTCTAAAGAATTTAATTCCTAAGAATCGCAAACCCTTCATGATCTGCATACCTGTCTACTAGTCCATTCCTTTTGTCCCATGTATGACCTGAGAAGATGCCACAGACTTCCCTGTAAGCAATGCAATGCCTTACCTTGCATGAAGAAGGAGCTAGGGAAAGTGCTGGCTGCTGGTTTGGAGGAAGGGTAGCCTGGCGAGTCCCTATTGTAGTCGGCAGTGCTTGCTGAAGGAGCATAAACCTGAAGAAAAAGAACTGCATGAGTTTTGCTTTCTGTATTGACCAAAGCCCCTCAACATCCATTAAAGAGCACAACCTTTTCTCCCCTATCCAGTTTAAATCCAACCAAACCACAGAAACACTGCCCCTTTGGAATGTAGCAAAATGAAAAACTTCAGTATTTGTGTGAACAGAAAATAACCAGGTATGAGATTTTCCAGTCACAGGCAAGAAATACTGCAAATCATGTCTAGGTGTAAATATGCGATGTAATACCCACAGGGTAATCCTGAGTCTAAGCACTCCTTTTATTTTTTAAACACAGATGGCCCACAAGCATGGACAAGGTAAAAGCAGAAAGACACACACTAAGCTTTTCCCAAAAGGCAGTCAAAACTCAAGCTTCCAATTAAAATTTTCACTTTCAGGGAGAAAGGGGGAGAGAGAATGAGAGTGGAAGAGAGAGAAGGAAGAAGAGAGGAAAAGTATGAAAAACAGAAACACAAATGAACCACCCAGACCACAGAAAAGTGATAAATATATCTCAATTATTAAATTCCCAGAGTGTTGGCAGAGAGGTCTGAAAAAGGCCATTAAAAGCCCGCATCCACAAGACCACCAACAGCCATTGTATACACAGGAACAGGGGAGGGGGGTCTCTCTTTTTTATTTTTTAGTGCTTATTATATTTGTGTGTACAATAAACTTAAAAAGTGTGCCAAAAATCTAATTTACTTACATTTGTTTACTAATACTCCTAAGACTTAGGGAATCATGTCCTTGTAAAAATAGCCTGTATGTGTATTTTTTTGTTTATGTTGCCTTGGAATAGGACAGCCTACTAGAAAAGCATAAATTCATAAGGTATAGTTTAACTTTAATTGGTTTTCCCCCTTGCTTCTTCTGCTAAATACAATCTTTTTTTTTTTAATCCCCATTTTCTTTTGCTCTAAAAGTTCCTCTCTCCAGATGGTTGGAAAGACTGAAACCCTCATCCTCCTGATGAAAATGGATACCTTCCTGCCTCCATTTTGCAGCCGGCAGCAGCTCCCAAAATTGGCAGCAAGCCTACAGTGATATTCACAGGTCACAGCAAAAGAAAAAGAAAACTCGCCAATAAAAAGGCAAAGGCAAGGTTTCCAGAAAAATAACTCCCATTAATTTTTGTATAGCACATCGAAAATATACCTTAAGAAAAATTATATCATCACCCTCCGAACCCCATGAATCACAAACTAAACATTACTATAAGGTTTAGGATTTCACAAAGGATAGGTCCATGGAGACAGATGTGGGAAAATAGGCACACACATCCATACATCAAGTAAACGCTGCATATGCCCTTGAAAATGGGGGATCCTGAAGATGAAGCAGATGAAAACGAATCTGAAAGGCCCCTTCAACACTTTGGAAAACAAGCCCCTCCCTGTTCTTGCAGAGATTTCTTTTTTAAGTCTTATATTTCATAGAATTTTATTTTGTAATTCTCTTTACATCTTGAATATATAAACAGCCATTTTGCTTCTATTTCTAAGGGTTTACAACTAGCAAGTGAGGGGAGGGGGGACTTTTTTTTTTTTTTTGGTCAGTCCTGGGGCCTGAACTCTGGGCCTGGGCGCTGTCCCTCAGCTCTTCAGCTCAAGACTAGTGCTCTACCACTTCAGCCACAATGCCACTTCTGGCTTCTTTTTTTCTGCTTTTGTGGTGCTAAGGAATCGAACCTAGGGTTTTATGCATGCAAGGCATTACTGAGCCACCTTCCCAGCCTGGGACATTTTTTATTTATCATCCAAAAACAAAAGAATAAAATGTTAGGGCAGGAATCAAAAACCAAATAAACAATTAACTTCATGTCAAGAAAAATTTCAGTATTTTCTTGAGAACTGTACAATGAAAAAAAATGGTTGGAAATGACTACTAAATATTTAGGGAGTCTTGAGAGAAGGCTACAAAGATGAATATAACATCACCTTCTAGGAAAAGGAGAGACAGAAAAGCAGACTACTACCTCAATCTAATGACAGAATGAGCATAATATGGCGATAACACAGGCACATGCAATTTGCTGGGGGATGCATCTGGCCAGCTCGTTTAACACAAGCCAAGTGTACTAGATGTATATTTTCTCCACATTCCAGGAATTTCCTTATGCTACTAAGTTACCTTATGTTTTAAAATAAATGAAATCAATTTCTTTAAGAGACTGGTTAATTTTAATTAAGTATCCACCTTAAATATTATATTGAACATTCTACTCAAATATATTCAAATATGCATAGTACTATGCTAACATCATTAAGTGATATATAATAACGTTCATTCTTTTTCTATTTTTTGGTAGAATTACTTGACAGTTTTGGGGTGAGACAAGAAAAATTTTTGGACTCTTTGAGAATTATGAATTATGATTCAAGAATTATGAACTGAAATGTCTAGGGATAAAATCATTTCTCCCAAATCTACAATTATTAACTACATGGAAAGAAATATTTACAGGGTTAAAAGTTTTTAGGATATCCTACACTAAGCAATTTGCTTCCAGGTGTTGTAGCCAATCAAAGATCCATTATGTAAAGATAAAAAGTATTGCCAATGGGAAGCTGACCACCATTCATAGTTCTTTTAAAAGGAAATTACAGTATCGCTTATGCATTTGTTTAGATAGCAATTCACATATCATAGACAATATTACCCATTTTCCCTTTGTATGCTTCATTTTTCTCACCTCAAAGATTGTTTTCAAGGCAATCTCTTTATAGTTTTGTTGTTATAAATAAATATTGCACAGAACTACACTTTATAAAAGTAGAAGGAAGCAATGAAATGATTTAGGTCTCTCCTACCTGCTCACTAGTTGACTGGTTGTGTAGTAAAGGGTGTTGATATGCAGGGCCTCACATAAGCCACACTACCCACTACCACTGAGCTGTAACCCTGCTTACCCCTCAACATTTTAATGAAGATTTAAAAATCATGAAAGCTCAGGGCACACAACCTGCTTAAAATATATAACTATCCCTTGTTCTTTAATTTCCTTTATTTGGTATTTTCTTTCAATCTGTCAGTGGAAGGATCATTAAGACAACAGTGATTGCAATGTTCTTAATTCTTCAGTCTACCTTTAGTGCTTTAATTTTTTTTTTTGGAGGGGGGGTCCGGTTGTGGGGCCTGAACTCTGGGCCTGGGCACTGTCCCTCAGCATTTCAGCTCAAGGCTACTGCTCTACCACTTGAGCCACAGCACCACCACCAGCTTTTTTTCTTTTTGCTTATGTGGTGCTGAGGAATCGAACCCAGGGCCTCAGACATGCAAGGTGAGCACTCTACCACTGAGCCACCTTCCCAGCCCCTTTTTAATAACCAGGATGACCAGGAAGCTACTTTATGATTTCTACTTCAATTATTTTGACAATTTCTCAGTCAAAAGGCTTCGAAGTACAGGTTTCAATACATTTTTAATAATGACATTAAATCTAATAAGAAAATCTTGCATCAATTCAATTTCCATCATTATTATCCTAGGTATATAGAAAAATTACAAATACAATTGGAATTGTTTTTAATTAACTAACACCAGAAAATCGGTCTCATCTGAAATGAAATAAAAATCCCAAACTACAGGACAAGTATTGAAGAGACCACCGCCCCCCCCCCCCCAGAACAAAACATGAGGAAAATGTAATGGCAAACAAAAAATCCACCCTTAAATTCTTTTCTAGTAAGGCGGCTTAGATCAAGGTGACTACTGGCTTTCCCATTTTTCCCCCAAGAGTAACTAAAGAAGTATGAAATTTTGTTGCCAAATTGGCAATGAGGAATGTTGGCTGAGGTTCCCAGGTCAGAGTTCTTTTATCAAATTGCTTGTTGAGCAAAGTTAGCACTACTGTATGATACATAAATTACAGTTTAACAAAGCTCTCTAGATAACACTAAGATTTTGAGCTAATAAAAGTTAAAAAAAAGTTTTCATTTCACAGATTTATCATGTAATTTGAAATGATTACTATGGTCCAGTAGCTGTTTCATATGACCTTCTCAAAAATCCTGTCTATGGTCTTTAAGGAAGCGACATTACTGTAAGTTCTTATGTGCCCCCCCAACCCTGAACATTCTTTAGTTTTCGTGATCTTGGCCTCTCAGTTTCACTTACAGATGTTGAAATAATGTCATGTCAGGATCTCCTATAGAACCGTTTTTGTGCTTGAAATTGCCCATACACGATTTCTAATCTTCATAATGATCATACAAGATGGTATTATTAAGTAGTACCATCCTTTATTCATAAGGGAGAAGTATGATAGAAAAGTGAAACTCATTGGCTCAAACCAGCTTGGGTCTGTGAGTTCCATCATGACTTGCATCTATTACTTTTATCTTCCCTGGTCTTCAGATTCCTAACCGAGAAATGGGAATGACAAGGCGTGCTATGCAAAGTACATTTATAAAGCAACAAGAATGGAACTCTGGTACAGATTAAGCATTACAAAACCACCACACATTAACATGTCCTGCTTGCTACTGCTGTTTCTATTAACTGGGTAAATATAACTCTGAAAGGTGAAGCCATCTTTCTATGTTAAAAATATTTTGAGTAATAATGCAAAGACATCCAAACTGGTCATCAAAGTCTAGACTCTTTCTACTCAAAAATAATTATGTGCAAAGGCAAACAAAAAGAGAGAGAGTAAAGATAATATATTCTTTTTTTGGGGGGGGTCCGGTGTTGGGGCCTGAACTCTGGGCCTGGGCACTGTCCCTCAGCTCTTCAGCTCAAGGCTAGCACTCTACCACTTGAGCCACAGCGCCACTTCCGGCTTTTTTTATGCTTACGTGGTGCTGAGGAATTGAACCCAGGGCTTCAAACATGCAAGGCAAGCGCTCTACCACTGAGCCACCTTCCCAGCCCAGATAATATATTCTTAACTATCATCAATAAGAGGCAATAGTTAAGGGAAAGTTTATGAAAATCATCTTGCAAGATTGATGATTACTTTTGAAGAGAGCAGTATTTCCTAAGGTATGC